GCCAGCCTTGCTGGCTGAGGAATTCTAGGAGTTGAGGTCCACACATCTTCAAGTTGCCAAGGTTGAGAAACACTGATTTAGAGCCTCACAACCACCAGTCATTGGCTCAGTAATTCAGCAGCATCCCTGATCCAGCCTGGGCTGGCAGTATACAGTTGAGTATTATTGGCGTACATCGTCCCAAATTGATGTGATATCTTGCACTGGATCATCCATGGATATGTACGACCCCTATGCACACCAACAGGAACTGCTTGCTTAGATAGGAATGGAACCAATGAAAACCAATGCGTTCAATATCCAACCTTGCAGGTCATCCAGAAGGATACCATGGTTAATGACATCAGATGCTGTCAAAATGTCTAATAGGTCCAGTAGGGGTGTACTCCCTCCTTTCAGACTTCCACCGAGGTCATCCAGTGATAACCAATTCTGTTTCCATCCCATAACCAGACTGAAGTGATCCAGAAACTCAATTTCTTCCAGTACCCCTATAGCTGACACCTCAAGATCTTCTCCAAAAACTTTCCCAAAAAGGGAAGATTGGAGATTGGCCAATAATTGTCCAAAATGGCTCTATCAAGAGATGGCTTCTTCAGAAGGGGATGAATCACTGTCTCCTTTTTGCAGATGGTACCGTGGTCCTTTTCAAAGATACATTTATCACTTCCAAATTTAGCTGCATATGCTACACCCAACTGATCAAATAAACCAGGGGCGTGGGTCTAGCCTACAAGTGGCACAACAAATGCCACAGAGTGTCCTGTCCACATCTACAAGCTCCAAAAATCTAAGTAAGGAGAATTCTGAAGTGCAAACTTCAGAGGATAGTTCTAACTCCTCCACCTCAGCCTTAGTTGAAGCTCTATCATGGCCAGCAACTGATTGAAATCTATGGCACTACATTATTTCTTAGGGACACCACTTGAGTCCGTCACATACTTTAGGTCATAAAATTAAACCTACATCCTTATGCTTGTAGGACCCCAAGCTGACCAGTGGGGTACTGGTGTTGCTGAGAATAACACTAACTTGCAGAGTTATGCTTGGTTTTATCCTTATATTGCAATAGGGCTGAAATAGGACCACGTAACAACCTTGTGCTATAATTCATGGTTATGTTCCTACCTTGGGTTGGAGAACTAGGTGGGAGAATGGCTGTAGCCTGAAAGTAACCTTGCAATATTACTTTATGAATATTAGAATTGCATTTGCTTGGATTCTTCGTGAACCCTTCTCTTAGGTTGCAATAAAATCTCTTTTGCATGGAACTGAGGACTAGGCTTGGTGTGGGAAGAGATTACATGAAGGAGATCCATGTGCCAGCAAAGCATGCAAAACAGGTTGCATCTCTGGTGTTTTATAGCCTTCATTTCCAAATCTGCAGACTTGGTTTTCCCACAGTGCCAGTCCTCTTCACACAGAGGGGAGAGGTTTAAAATGCAGACACATGCATCGATGTGGGATTTAAACAAAGTGGTAGTTTGGTTGTGATTGTGGGATGCGATCTTGGGCAGCATAGTCAGTCTTGAGATGTTTGGGTCTGTGACCCAAGTCATGATATATTATGGTATGCTTAACCACGTCTATTGTTAGCACAATGTACAGACTCAACATTTTGCCTGCCTTGTTTTCCATTAAAACCTACAGGTAGTCCTTGGCTAACAATGGCAATTGGGACTAGAATTTCTGTCACTAAGCAATACGGTCATAAAGCGCAATGTTGCCTGACCGTGCGGCTTAGCAACAGCAAGCCTGACACTCCCGGTCACTGTTGTTAAGCAAATCCTGCACTGACGTTAAGCGACATCATGCGGTCACCATTTGTGACCTCTTTCCGGCTTCCTCATTGACTTTGCTTGTCAGAAGCTGGCAAAGAAGGTTGCAAATGGTGATCGTGAGACCCTGGGGACACTGTGATGGCTAGAACTCTGAGGACTGGTCATAAGTACCATTCATTCAGCACCATCGCAAGTTTGAATGGTCACTGAATGAGTGGTTGTTAAATGAGGACCACCTGTACTGAGTAACATAAATAGTCTATGACAGGCATGGCATGGCTGGCTGGGGAATTCTGGGAGCTGAAAGCCACACATCTGAAAGTTGCCAAGATTGAGAAACATTGGTCTATGATTTTGAGAAACTAGCCCACTTCTTTCACAAAAAAATTTACAACCCTGCAAGATTGTACTTACACAACAGAACAACCAATGTCCTCAGAAGCCACATTCTGGTCGTCTTGCAATCTGGAAAGCAAAGCAACAATAAAGTGCATTAGAAATGTCTGAATAAACGATATGGTTGCCTTTCCTTCTGATTGTTTGAAACGAAGAAGAAATG